CCCGGGGGTGCACTCAGCAGGGCAGAGGCTCGGAGCCCTCCCGGGGGTGCACTCAGCAGGGCAGAGGCTCGGAGCCCTCCCGGGGGTGCACTCAGCAGGGCAGAGGTTCGGAGCCTTTCCCGGGGTGCACTCAGCAGGGCAGAGGCTCAGAGCCTTTCCCGGGGGTGCACTCAGCAGGGCAGAGGCTCGGAGCCCTCCCGGGGGTGCACTCAGCAGGGCAGAGGCTCGGAGCCCTTCCTGGGGGTGCGTTCAGCAGTGTCAGAGGCTCAGCGGATGCTGGGGTTCTGGGTGGGTGGGAGCTGAGGGTTGGGCTTCCTGCAGAATGCTAAGAGTGCCAAGAGCGGGCATCGCAGTTGCTCCTTTCCTCCCAGAGCCACCCTCTCCCCTCCACTGCAGTGTGATGGCGCCTCCATGCTAATCGCCCTCTAGAACAAGTAGAGAACTTCATGGTGTATATTTTGCTCTTTGACTGGAAGGAAATGAACTCAGTGTAACGACCAGGCTGTGGGGGCTGGGTTTTTTCTGGACAAAGAGCCCCATCTGGGTCCAGGGGCCGCGTCTGAGCACGGGGCATCCACACTGGCACACTCTGTTTTGCTCAGAGCCGGGACACAGCACGTGGGTGTGTGAGCCCTCTTGGGGGCTGGAAACCCAAGGTGCCAATCAAGGGTTCTTGTTTCAACCAAACCTCCCCTTGCCATCCTCCATGCAGCACTTCCCCAGGCCCTCACCCAGTCGTGGACAAAGCACAGCTATTTCGTAAAGGGAAGATCAAAGAGACAGAAGTCGCGGATGTGTGTGTGGCAGGTGGGGACCCAGAGGGACAGTGGCCATGCTGTGTGTCCCGTGGTCGCCCCAGAGGCGGGTGGGCCAGGCCGCTGCACATGCCCTGGGAGCAGGCAGGTGGGGAGGGAACCCGAGGACCCCGCCTGTGTTCACCTCTCTCTTCCTCTCTGGGACCAGTTATGGCTGGAGGGACTTTTCCCTCCTTCCCCCATTCCCTCCTCTCCTCGCTTTCCCTCCCCTGCCTTTTAATTTCTTCCCTTTTGCAAGGCCTTCTGTCCAGCGGGGGCTGGGAAGGAGATGCCCCCGACCCCCTCTCGTGGTCGCCCGGGTAGGGGTGGGAGGAATCTGGAAACCACTTGCGATGCCCGGAGTGCCCCGAGCGGCCGCGCCGGGCGCTGCTCCTCCTTCCCCAGCTCCGCGCCTTCCCCTCGCAGACCCCTCCTGCCTCTGGGGTCCTGGAAGCGTCCCAGGATGGGGTGGGAGCACCGAGGGAGAGAGCGGGGGAGGGAGCTGGCCGGCGGCAGGGCAGCCAGGAAACGGGACGGGGACTCTGGCGCCCCTCCGGGCTGCCGCGCGCGGGCCGGGACCGTGCGCCACGTTGCGCGCCAGACGCTGCATCTTCTGGAATGGCGGCTGAGGCGCCGGCGGAGAGCGCTGCGGGGCGGGCGGAGGCGCTCGCGGGGGCTGGGATCCGCGTCCCCTCTGCGCCTGGGTGCGGAGCGCGAGGTGCCCAGGCGGGGGCGACCACGTCAGTGAGGGGCTGCGCTGCGCACGCCCGCGGGGCCGTCCAGAATTGGGGGTTTGGAGGCGCTGCAGACCCTGGGAAATAGGTGCCTCCGCCCTGTTCTCTCTGCTGCTTGGCCGGGCTGGGCAGGAAAGCCAGGGTCCCCACCCCTCCCGGAGCAGTATAGTCCGCGCTGGCTGTTCCGAGGGCCCGGGAGGGCAGAGCTGTCAGGGGTCTGCCTGGCATCATTAGGGGGGCTGTCTGTCTTGCTGTCCCCCGCTGGCGTGGCCCGGCAGGAGGCGAGGATGACAATTTCAGGAGAGCTGGTGATCTGCCCTGACACCTGCCAGTCAGGTAAGCGCTGGCCTCCTGCCTGCAGCCCCCTGGGGCACAGCAGGTTCTGCTCCCTGACCAGGAACGGGTCCCTTGGTGCTGACGGTGGCAGCTAATGAGCCCGCCGAAGGGCTGCCCACCGGGTGCACAGACAGGCGCAGTGGGCACATCCCTGGCTCGCCAGGCCCTGCGGCGGGGCTGCCCTCTCCCGGACGCCTTCTGCCCGTTCCTGGTGTCTCCACCATTGACCCTGGAAATCACTTTCTTGCTTCTCTTATCAGGATATTCCTACATGTCTGGAACTTTCTGGGAGGTTCTCTTTGCCTTGGAAGTGTTTATTACTCTAAAATCAGGAGGTCTGCCTGGCATCATAAGTACCTCTAGGGTATTTATCCTTAAAGATAAAGCCAGTACCTAGGACCAGGTGTCCCTCCTGCAGGGCTCCAGGCCCTGCCTGATCTGGGTTCTCAGGCAACCCCCTCCTTCCCTGTGCATCCTGGGCTTCCGCTTTTGTGGAAGTAATCTGTTATGATCTCAGTTGTGCCCTCCCCAAATCCATATATCAAATTCCTAAGCCCCTGGCTGGACATGGTGCCTCACGCCTGTAATCCTAGCACTTTGGGAGGCCCAGTTGGGTGGATCACCTGAGGTCAGAAGTTCAAGACCAGCCCAGCCAATATGGTGAAACCCCATCTCTAATAAAAATACAAAAATTAGCCGGGCGTGGTGGTGGGCACCTGTAATCCCAGCTACTCTGGAGGCTGAGGCCAGAGAATTGCTTGAATCCGGGAGGCGGAGGTTGCAGTGAGTCAAGATCACGCCATTGCACTCCAGCCTGGGAGACCAGAGTGAAACTCTTGTCTTAAAAAAATAAAAAATAAAAAAATAAATCTTTATGCCCCAATATCTCAGGATATGACCTTATTTGGAGATAGAGGCTTTAGAAAGGTAATTAAGGTAAAACGAGGTCCTTAGGGTGGACCATAACCCAACAGGACTGGTGGTCCTTATAGGAGGAGGAGATTAAGATGTACACAGAGGGACGACCATGTGAGGACACAGGGAGGAGAGAACAACCTTCTATAACGGCGGTCGCCAACCTTTTTGGCACCAGCGGCTGGTTTCGTGGAAGGCGCTTTTCCACGGACCCCGGCGGGGTGGTGGTGGAAGGCTTCCAGATGATTCAAGTGCATTACATTTATGGCATTTCTGTTGTTACTGCATTGTAATATATTATGAAATAATGATACACTTTGCCATAATGTAGAATCAGTGGGAGCCCTGAGCTGGTTTTCCTGAAACTAGACGGTCTCATCTGGGGATGAGGGAGACGGTGACAGATCATCAGGCGTTGGATTCTCATGAGGAGCGTGAAACCTAGATCCCTCACATGCACAGCTCTCAATAGGGTTCATGCTCCTGTGCGAATCTAATGGTTCCTAAAGGGCCACGGACCGGTACTGGTCCTCGGCCCCGGGGTTGAGGACCCCTGTTCTAGAAGGCAAGGAAAAGGGGCTCAGAAGGAACCAACCCTGCCTCGACACCTTGCTCTCAGACTTCCAGGCTCCAGAACTGCAAGGAAATGCATTCCTGTTGAAGGCACTCGGACTGCAGTGCCTTGCCGCGGCAGCCCTCAGCAACAAATACAGAATCGGTTGGGACAAAATGAATCCAAAGTGTACACCCAGAGATACCTGCCAGGTTCGTGAAAACGTCTACTCTGCTACGGGGAAGCACGTGACAGAGGTGGGTGCCGGAAGTCATCAAGTCGGTTTCATCCATCGTTCTCCTGCTCCACTACCCCTGCCCCCATAACAGTTACATTTTCTTTTTCTTTTTATTTATTTATTTTTGAGATGGAGCCCCGTTCTGTTGCCCAGGCTGGAGTGCAATGGCATGATCTCCGTTCCCTGTAACCTCCGACTCCAGGTTCAAGCGATTCTCTTGCCTCAGCCTCCTGAGTAGCTGGGATTACAGACGACCACCACAAACTCCCGGCTCATTTTTTTTTTTTTAAATTTTTAGTAGAGATGGGGTTTCACCATGTTGGCCAGGCTGGTCTCGAACTCCTAACCTCAGGTGATCCACCTGCCTCAGCCTCCCAAAGTGCTGGGATTACAGGTGTGAGCCATCGAGCCTGGCCCATTTTCTGAAAACGTGCTCTTGTAAAAAGGTGTTTACATAACAGATCAACATTTAAGAACATGTTTAAAAGCAATTATGAACGTGCTCACCTGTCAGGCGGGATGGTTTTGCTCACGTTTCCAGTTGGTTGGGTAAACAGTCAGCTCGGGTGTTGTTTTGTCTTAAGCCTACCCCCTACTGTAATTGTGTGTTTACCTTTGTGATAATGTCACATCACTCTCATATTTAACTATTCGCAGGGATTAAGTTATTCCAATAAAGGACAGAGAAATAAATTTTAGACCCTGTTTCCTGGCTATCCCCATCCCCATTTTTCAAAAATTGGACAATTTTCCAAGATTACGAGAAGCAGTTTTGAGCATTTGGAAGCCATGGATGCCACGGCCTCTGACAGGGTTTTCATCTGTAACCCACTTGCCGAAAAGGTCTCCCCGTGTAGGGTCACAGGATGTGGCCCCTGCCATCCGTGTGGTCACTACGGAGGGTACAGGGCTGTGCACCACACCCCAGCATAACTGCTCCTCCTGGGGGCCTGGGCAGTTGTGGTCACTAAGTCCTGACTCTGCCATGGAAGAGGCAACTTCTGGGCAGACACTGATGCTCAGTGGCCTCCAGGGAACTTTCGGGTCCCCTTGACACATGGGAGGCTCCCTGGCTAGAGTCCCCTCCCAGATACCCTCATTCCTGTGTCTCCAGGGCTGGAGAGGTCTGCTGGCTTTCTGGGAGGATGTTTCTGTTGCTGAACAGATGGTCAGCCCTGTGCAGAGGATGGGAAAGCTTCACGCCACAGTTTGTGTGTCTCAACAAGAAGCCCGTTTAGTAACTCACTGTTAGTGCCGAGGATGGCGGCATTGGGCAGCACAGGTCCACTGTGGCCACCAAGCTTACAGACACTGTCCGTTGTCAGAGCAGAGACAATGTAGAGTTAATGTCATCCTCATCACCACAGTGACGTCGGAAGGGACCCTAGGTGTGCCTTTGTGACGTTGCCACATTCACAGGGTGACAGCATTGGTGGTGATGACAGTCGGGATGGTAACTTGGCCTCACCTGTGTCCATGTCTTGCAAAATCACATGGTCTCAGCTGGTCCTCACAGTCCTGGAAATTGTCAAATTCTTGAGCTGTGGGGTGGAGGCAGGCAGGAGGCAGGGTCTAAAATTCACTTCTCTCTTGAATGAGTGGGTCCTCTCTCTTCCTTTGCTCACAGAAGCTTTTGTGATGATGCCGACAACCAGAGCTGCCCTTGCCTTCCTTCACATTGCCAAAGCACTCAGGGGTCTTCTGCCCTTAGAGTTCATTGTGGGGCTCCATCGCCCATGCTGGAGTGCAGTGGTGTGATCTCAGCTCACTGAAACCTCTGCCTCCCAAGTTCAAGAGATTCTCCTGCCTCAGCCTCCCAAGTAGCTGGGATTACAGGTACATGCCACCACACCCGGCTAATTTTTGTATTTTTAGTAGAGATGATGTTTTACCATGTTGGCCAGGCTGGTCTCAAACTCCTGACCTCACATGATCTGCCCACCTTGGCCTTCCAAAGTGCTGGGATTACAGGCGTGAATCACCGTGCCCGGCCTCGTCACTTTAACATGGGAATAATAGCAACCATACAAGGGTACTGGGAATGATTAAAAGCGTTAGTCCTACAGGAGTAATTCTAGGACCTAACCTCATAGGGTTGCAGGAGCACTGAATGAGGTAATCCATGAGGTTAGGTCCTAGCGTTTTTCCTGTTTCATACATGGGGAAGCTGAGGTTTATTTCAAGTAAGTGCCCAAGGTCACACAGCTGGGAAGTGGTAGAACTGGATCAAGCCCCAGCCATTCGGCAAGAGACCCCATCCCAGATCCTATATTGCCTTCCAAAAAGTCAAGCACCCCTGGGTCAGTGGAAGTTGTAATCTGTGTTAAACAGAGTCTGGAGGCCAGTCTCCAATTTCTGGGCTCTCAGAGTCCTCATTGGACCTTGAGCTCTAACAAAGTACTCACAAACATGTGCCAATGACTTCCCACAGTGAAGGACGGTCGTGTGTGTCTGTGGTGGGGTGATGCGTTGCTTCTTACTGAATGTGAACTAAAGTTTAGGAACACTGGATCTGTGTGCTTCAGGAGTGGTGGGCGTTGCCCTGGTGGAGTGACAGGAGCATTAAGTGAGGTGAGATCCTTGGTGTCATCCTATGATGATGGTGACTGTGGCAGTGATGATGATGATGACAATCATTTTTTTTTAAGATGGAGTTTTGCTCTCGTTGCCCAGGCTAGAGTGCAATGGTGCAATCTCAGCTCACTACAACCTCCGCCTCCCGGGTTCAAGAGCTTCTCTTGCCTCAGCCTCCCGAGCACCTGGGACTATAGGTGTCCACCACTATGCCTGGTTAATTTTTTGTATTTTTAGTAGATACGGTGTTTCACCATATTGGCCAGGCTGGTCTCGAACTCCTGACCTCAAGTGATTCACCTACCTTGGCCACCCGGAGTGCCAGGATTACAGACATGAGCCACCACATCCAGCCGACAATGACTTTCTTCTCCTCTTTCTTCCCCTACTTCCCCTCCTTCCACCACTACTGCTACTGCCTCCTCCTCCTCCTCTTCCTCCTCCTCCTCCTCCACCTTCTCTCTCTCTTCCTGTCCTGGTTTCTCAGCCGTTCTCAGTCAAGCCACAGAACTGGGTGCTTTGTCACTTTCTCTAGGACTTGGCTATCGGAGGGAGATGGTTCACACAGGTGCCCAACTGCAGGACGACCCTGCGGAAGAGGCACCTGCTGGGACCAATTAGAATTCCTCGTTCTGGGCTGGGTGCATTTGCATAATCTCTGGGCCCCCAGGAAAAATCTTCCTCCTCTTTGTTAATTGAAAAAGGCTCTTTGTCTTTCTTCAGCTGTCAGGCCTCCCCAGGCAAGCTCCTTAGACAGGGTCGCCCCCTGAGGTCTGTGCCTCTCCTCCCCACACGTCAGCTCACCACTTGGAATTGTTTGTGTTTCCTTCCAGACTCTAGCCCCCAAGGACAGGGACTGTGTCTCTGTTCCCGTGGTGGTGTTTTATCATCCCTAAATCCATACCTAGTGCCTGGCAGGTGGTGTTGGCTAGGTGATTGAATGCAGTTGTAGGTTGCCCGACTGACCTGAATGAGCCAGACTCATTACAAAGACCAGGCAACTATGCTGAAGAAATGTTGGTGCTTACCAAGAAACACTCTTCTAACCATTGTTAATTTTTTTTGGACATTAAAATATTTATTAGACTGGGAGTGGTGGCTCACGCCTGTAAACCCAGCACTTGGGGAGGCGGAGGCAGGTGGGTCCATTGTGGTCAGGAATTTGAGACCAGCCTGGCCAACATGGTGAAACCCTGTCTCTAGTAAAGATGCAAAATTAGCTGGGTGTGGTGGCTCGTGCCTGTAATCCCAGCTACTTGGGAGGCTGAGGCAAGAGAATTGCTTGAACCTGGGAGGCAGAGGGTACAGTGAGCCGAGATTGAGCCACTGCACTCCAGCCTGGGCGACAAAGCAAGACTCCATCTCAAAATAAGGTAAATAAAATAAAATAGATATTTACTAGACGAAAATTGAGAATTCTTACTTCGAATTGGAATTTTGGGTTACACT